TGGTTGTACCTCTCAGTCTCATCCTTGTCTCTTATGGGGCCATTGCCCGGGCAGTCCTGAGGATTAACTCTGCTATGGCATGGAAAAAAGCTTTAGGGACCTGCTCCTCCCATCTTCTTGTGGTCACCCTTTTCTACAGCTCTGTCATTGCTGTCTACCTGCAGCCCAAAAATCCCTATGCCCAAGAGAGGGGCAAGTTCTTCAGTCTCTTCTATGCAGTGGGCACTCCCTGTCTCAACCCTCTCATCTACACCCTGAGGAATAAGGAGGTGAAGAGGGCATTCAAGAGGTTGCTGGGGAAAGATGGAGAATCCAGGGAGAGCTGAAGGAGAGCCACTTAGTGGACTTCTAAATGAAGAAGGGTTCCATCACGATTTCTAAAAATGCTGAGCTCCCAAGACACACTGCGCTTGGTGAATTGGAGCAAGCTCACCTAGAGGTTTCTTCTCCAAATGCAGCGTATGCGTTTCCCCGTGGCCCTTTTTGATCTGCAGCTGTAACCCAGTGTTGGCTGCCACATATGTGGCTACAGAGGCCACCTTTGGGCTCTTCAGAGATGTGAGGACAAATAACAGGCTTCTGGCTAACCAAAATGAATTTTTTATGCCATCTGCAGCTAGTGTCAATGGGCAGCCTGTTTTTGCCAACATCACACTGCCCGTGTGTACCCTGACAGAGCCATACCTCCCGGTTGTACAAAGCCTCGTCTGCCCTGAGAACTATAGGACAGCAGACACCATTAGGTCACTCCATGAAGAGCTAGACACCCGCTCCAGTGTGCAGAAAGACCTGGAGCAAAGGATCAGGAGCACTTTGCAGAACAACAGTTGGAAGGGAAATGGAAGTGTTTAATTGAAATTAGCATTCCTGTGTGTTAGCCTTTGATAGTGCTGGTGAGACCTGATCTAGTTACAGATCTTATAGTAGAAAAGGATGTCTCTTTTTTTTTTGTCTTTTTTTCAGTAGTGGGGCCTGATCTCTGGGCCTGGGCTCTGTCCTTCAGCTCTTCAACTCAAGGCAAGTGCTCTACCACTTGAGCCACAGCACCACTACTGGTTTTCTGGTGGTTAATTGGAGATAAGAGTCTCACGAACTTTCCTGCCAGGGCTGGCTTTAAACCAGGATCCTCAGATCTCAGCCTCCTGAGTAGCTAGGATTATAGGCATGAGCTCTAGCACCAGGCTACGAGGGGAGGCTTTGTGGGATGTCCAGCAGGTCATGTCCAGTGATGTGCCTGGAGCCAGCGCCTGTCTCCTTGAGGAGTTCATTGTTCAAGTTTCAGGAATTTTATAAACCTGTTGTTTAACATCATCATTATTTAAAAACGAAGTCATGCGAGTTCCTTGTCAAATATATATTATTAAAGCAAAGGGAATAAACTCATTACTTGCTAGTTACTTTACTGAATTTTACTATTATCTATGCTCTTGTGGTTATTTATACGGTATATCTGTATAACAAAATAATGTATCATGTGCATCTCTTTCTAACTCCATATTTACAGTGACACACTGACAGTTTAAAATTAGCCATGATAGGCTAGGAGCTGGTGGCTATAATTATACCTCAGATCTTGCTACCTGGGAGACTGAGAATGGGAGGCTCAAAATTCAAGGCCAGTCTTAGGCAGAAAAAAAAAACAAGACCCTTTCTCAATGCATAGCCAGGCCCAGTAGCATACACCTGACATTGCAAGCAACATGGGAGGCTGAGGGAGGTGGGGATGGGGGATCATTAATGTCACCAGACCAGGCAGGACAATTCCACTAAGAGTCCCTTCTCCACAGAATAGAAACTGGACAGAGTGGCCTAGACCAATGACCCCAGCAACAACGGAAAGGCTGACAGCTCAGAGATAACCTCTCCTACATCCTTTAAAGGCGGCATGAATCAAAGTCTGGACTGAAATATCCCCTTTACATTGTACTATTGTTTGTGGTTGCCTGGGTTTATGGGGAAGGAAGTATAGATTCAAGAGCTCCTGCTTCACCTTGTCCACCACTATAAATCTTATTCCACAATTGAAACAAACAATCCGGGGATTCTGCCAACTACTGAACATGTGCATTCCATATATTCAGAGACTTGCATCTGTGAGAAACAGGGGTGCACTATGCCATGGGCCTGGGCTGTGTGAACCCCCCCACCCCATGAGACCTCACTACAACTAAGGAAGCATCTTAATGATTCAGCTATATCACACAAGGGTTAACTTATATGTCCCAAGTCTTCTACCAAGCCCAGGCTATTATAATTCTGTTACTACAGCACAATGCATCTCAGAGAAAGTGGAATGGAAAAGGAAGCAGTTGAGAACTTGTAAAATTATGGGCCTGCATGGGTGAATCAGGAAATGGAGAAGTATCTGCGTGAGACTCATTAAAGGTAGAAGGGAAAGAAACATTGTCTTTGTTCTTCCTACTGGCAGAGAAGCAATGGGTGACCTTTTTACCTGCCCTAGTGATGACAATCACTGGCATATTCCTTCTAGAAGGTCTCCTGCTCCACCACAATTAGTGGGTAATTAATTATCCCTAAGGCCTTAGAATTAATGAGTTCTTTCTCTGGGATCTCTCTCTCCCTCTCCCTCCCTCACTCCCTCCTTCCCTCCACACCACACTAGGTCAGCCTTTCTACCACCTGGGCCACTAAATAGAGACTAGCTCCCCTCCCCACCCCAAAACCTTCCTCACATAGAGGTATCTCTGACCTGCAGAGAGATAAAGTAGTTTGTGGTGAGTGAATCCCATTTTACAAGTTCACAAATCAACTTTGATCTTACTCTTGCCTTCAGCATGTTATTTAAACTTTCTTTTCTTCAACTTTTTCACATTAAGAGGAAGATAATAATGCATAGCATTGTCGTGGATCATCAGAGGTATGCTAATTAATGTTTGGCTAGAGGTAGGCAGTGCCCTAAGTTGTAATATTTGCCCACTTGGACTCCTATATTCGAACTACCAATAGTTTAATAGCTGGCTTACAAAATTTCTGAAAATTTAATAGCCAAGTGATAGAATGAGCTGACTTATGTGCTCAGAAAAGTGCCTGAAGTGACCTTAACAATTCTTGCAACAACCAGAAATCTATTTGATCATTCAAAGATGAGCATTCCTCTTTAGTTTTAGTTTTCTTCTTGATGTCCAAGGAGAGTACAGAAATGAGCCAAGAGTTTTTACCACCGGTAATTGCTGGCTGAAGAGATTTTTCTTGGATTGAGGGTAAGTAAAACATGTGCTCTTCTGCTATGAAATACCAGTTTCCACAAATCCTGAAGAGCAGAGCCCCAAACTTGGAATTCAGTAGGGTGAGTTTTTATCAGAAACCTTGAATCAGACTGGTCTGACAGTCTCACCTCTCAAGCCAGACAGCCACAGGCTACCCTCAACCAAAACTCTCCTATAAGCTTCCTCTTGGATTTCTCAGAACACCTGAGGTGAAAAAGATGCTCTAGAATTTTAGTCCTGGCATGTATTGACTAGATGACTTTAGATATGTTACTTAGCCTGAAACTGTTGATAAAATTGGAGTGATAAGAACCAGATGTTCAGGATGTGATTAGGACTGTACATGGCCCATCCATAAGAAGCACTCAAGAAATCTACTAGTAGCAATGCTATCTACTATCATAGACCCCCTTTAAGGAACCCCTCCCCCCCAATCTAGGCCCTGTTTCTGAGCACAATGCTAGCACCTTGTGGCTCCATAAACAAAAATAAATATGCAAGCCAATAAGTAACTGCATCAAAAAAAAAAGAAAGCAATTAGGAGAAAAAAATAAATGCATAGGATCAAAAGAGAGAAAATGGGCAGTGTTACTAAAGAAATCTAATCTAAAAGAGATTCATCAATAAGGCAGAAAAGGGAAGGAAGTAGAATGCCAAGAGAATGCCCCAGTTAGAAATGCAGGGAATTGACTACAATACTAGTCGGGGGTGAAGAAGAAGTACTTGACTGTCCTTTGAGGTTTTATACAAGTTATTGTACAGCACAAAGGAAACCAGCTGAGGGGGGGGGTCTTCTGTGCAATCATATATTCTGAAGGTAGATGGTATCAGCTGAAAACTGGTAAATATGCTGAAAAGCACTATAGACATCCAAAGGGTGGATTGTATGGCATGAGAAATTACATCTCAAAAATAAGAAAGAATAATAATTTAAAATTCAAAATCAAGCCGGCTGGTGGCACACACCCCGTAATGCTAGCTGCTCAGGAGGCTTACATGGGGGAATCAAGGTTCATAGCAAGCTTGAGCAGGAAAGTCCCTGAGACTTTTATCCCCAATTTACCAACAAAAAGTTGGAAGTGGGGCTGGGAAGGTGACTCAGTGGTGGAGTGCTTGCCTCACAAGCATGAAGCCCTGGGTTCGATTCCTCAGCACCACATAAGCAGAAAAAACTGGAAGTGGCACCGTGGCTCAAGTGGCAGAGTGCTAGCCTTAAGAGCTAGCACTAAGAGACAGCGCCCAGGCCCAGAGTTCAGCTCCTTTCTCCTCCCCCACCCACCCACACACACACACACACACACACAAAGTTGGAAGTGGACATGTGGCTCAAGTGGCAGAGCACCAGCATTAAGCTAAAAAGCCAAGCACAGGAGCATGAGACCCTGAGTCCAAGCCCCAGTACTGGAACATACACACACCCTGAGAGAAAGAGAGAGACAGAGACAGAGACAGAGAGAGAGAGAATTATCCTCATTCCATCTTCAAAAACAAGAAATGGAGAAGTCAGGGAAGGGTGCACAGACACGTGAAATATTTGTTTCGTTCTTTAACCCTGTGTCAGGTGTTGCCTTCACTATTCTTTGTACTGTGGAGATCTGCCTTCTTCACATTTTGTTTGAATATACAACATTTTAAATATTAAATAAAAGCATATTGGGGATAGAGGAAACAGCAAGAGAAAAAGAACAAAGGAAAAGCAGAAGGTTCCGGTTGAAAGCGAGGTATGACGGGCTTAGCACAGAGGAGGACCTGCTTCTCATCCTATGGCCCCCCACCCCACCTCTTCCCTCATCCCCACCCTACAGCCTGTGCTTTCCTGAGATACTTTAAGACCAGAGTACTCTGAATATTCAGTTTAACTTTCAGAATGGCTGTATCCTCCCATCCTGTCTCTGAGCTGCCATATGCCCAATACTTCTTCCTTTATTTTTTTGTTTTTTGGTTTTTGTCAGTCATGGTACTTGAACTCAGGGCCTGGGCGCTGTCCCTGAGCTTTTTCCACTCAAGACTAGTGCTCTGCCACTTTGAGCCACAGCACCACTTCCAATTTTCTAGTGAATTGAAGAGCCTCATAGACCTTCCTGCTAAGACTGATCCCCAAGGCTCAGATCTTAGCCTCCTGAGTGGCTAGGATTATAGGTGTGAGCTGCCAGTTCTCAGCAGTACTTATTACTTTTATTCAAAATTAAAAATCTACTCATTTCTCTAGAAAGTTTTCTAACATAAATTCTTCCCCAAATTTGTCCTTCACTTTATAGCCTCTTGGGCTGGCATGTGGCTCAATGGTAGAGTTGTTACCCTCATGCCCTGGGTTTCTCCTAGAACATCAAAAGATTAAAAGATTACTATATAAACTTTTTCCTCGTTGCTGGTATGGCTGACCTCTAAATCCTTCATATTCCAGTGAACTACCGGGGATTTTAACATATGTAAGGTCATTTTCACCCCCCACCTATAAGGTTCTGGTTCCTGGGACACCTTGTGGACCAATTTCCCTAACCAGGACAGCTGGTTGAGTGGCAAAGATTTCTAGGAGGAAGTTACCTGAAATTATCTTCTATAGTTGGTTGTTTTGTGTTTTGGGAGGTTTTTTTGGGGGGGGAGGGAAGAGTTTCTCTGAAATGAAAAAAAAATCTCTGTCATAGATAAACATTTTATCTACGGTAAACTCTATAAATAAAGTGGTGCCAAATCAAAACACATATTGCCACTCATTCCCTTTTACTCCACCAACTAATAAATAATTAAGCCCACAGGGATAATACACAATTATAAAACTCATTCAAAATGTAGTAATTTGAATTTCTTTTTCCAGTCCTAGGGATCCAACCCAGAGCATTTGCTAGTAAACATTCTACCACTGAGCCAAATCACTAGCTGCAAAATATATTATTTGGCTAATTCCTCCAATGAATAAATGAGGAATAACACAACAGAAATGTACTCTAAAGGACTGGGAATGTTTCTCAGCGGAAGGGCATTGGGTTCAGTCCCCAACATCACAAAAAACAACAACAATAATAATAATAATACAGAACAGCATGTCCAATAAATTTCTGCTGAATGATGAATGAGTTAATTAACCCATGTTTGACATTAGCCTCTTTTTTTAATCTCAATCAGGAAATCAGTGGCACCAGGGCACGGCACCATCTATTGTCTGCCATATTCCTGATTTCCTCACTCTTACTGGACCTCAAACCAAGAGGAGCAGGGGAAGAGAAGGGGCTTCTGGTAATGTGCCTGGGAAAGAGTCTGGGAGAACAGGTAAAGGAGGAACATTCCTGGCATCACCTGACAAGTATGAACTTTCTATAAGACATACTGAGCTGGGTACCTGTGGCTCATGCCTGCAATCCCAGCTTCTCAGGAGACTGAAATCTAAAGATTTCAGCCTTGAGTTTTAAAAAGAAAAGCTAAGGGATAGTGCCCAGGCCAAGAGTTTAAGCCCCAGCACCAACACACACACATGTGCATGCATATGCGCACGCACACACACACACACACACACACACACATATTGAATTATGGTAGTCTGATAGCCTCATCTTCCAGCAATTGGCCATGGCCAACCAAAGCTCTCCAGTGGGCTTCCTCCTTCTGGGCTTCTCAGAACACCCACGCCTAGAAAAGATTCTCTTCGTGGTTGTCCTG